AAGGAAAACACAAAACTATTTTAATTCAATAGAATGAAGGCAGTGAATATCTTACAAACTGAAGCAGAATTTTAACCAATCTCTTTGTAAAACTGTGAATTTATTCCTATAGCTATATCTACACTAAATGTGCATAATTTGTTCTGTTTTTACCTTTATCATAACAAAAATTCTGAACCTGTGTTTCTCTAATACCATTTCATAAAAGAAAAAACAGTGAGTTTTTTAAAAATATCCCTCAAATTTTTATCAACTAAACAACATGTATATGAAGCTGTAAAAACAAAATGTTCTTTACATAATGAAGTTTAATATCTGTGCTGAATAGAAACAGAAATATCTTTTAATGTGCTGAATTTCCACATGGTTTAAATCAAAAGTATCTATTATGCTTGTGAAAAAATGTCATAAAAACAATACATGAAATATTAGCAACCCAACATCATAAATAAACTATCCAAACACATTTTAATTATATAAAACACAGATCTATTTGCTAAAAAAAATACAGCAAACTTACAGAGTGAGCACTGATACAGAAGTAAAAACCTAAAAGCTCGTAATTTGATCAAAACAAATAATTGTCCTTACAAAGAAGAGTTCTAAACATAAATCATACAAAAATGATGAGCTCAACTTAATCTTTACCTACAACTTCAATAATCACCCATTATCATTGTACATATTAAGGATTTAAGACACAAGAAAAACACTGAAGCAAAAAAAAACAGAATAGGTTTTCTTCAATCTTCTTCTAAAATTGACTACTGTCATTCCTTCTTCCCATATGCCATTACATTTGTGACAGTAACTCAACCCCTCAACTAAACTATGTGGTTTAAGTGGATTAAGCAACAGAGAACACATCTGGTTCCATTCATAGATTAAAGCTAAGTCGTTGTTGGCTTAAGTCAGCGGAGCTCCATTAGTTACCTCCTGATTTTATAAATGCTTTATTGTTATCCAGACATTTTTTAATTCCCCATCTCCTACAGTATGCTATGCCTCTTCAAAAATAATATTTTTCTTCCTCATCAACATGTAGGGGCACATATTCATTCTCCAAGTCACTTAGACTTCATGGTAGGAAATACACAAATTTCATGTGGTAAGAACAAAAATCAGACCCATCTAAATACCAGGCTAGTTTCTGAAAAGCAAAAATCGTACACTATTTACAAAAATGATATTTAATAATGAAGAATTGTATGTGCTCATCACCTTAGAAAAACAGACTAACCTTAAAAAAAAAATCCTTCCATTCCAGGTTATTACACTCATACAAGGAAGCTAAAAAGCTTCTGCACTGAACTTGAACATTAGATAAATAGACTAATAAGTCATACTTTTATTCTGTTTGTGGTGAACTTGGCTACTTGGTACCGAAAAGAGTCCTCTCTACATGTTCATGGAAATCACACACATGTTCACAAGCAGTAATGACCTTTTGACAGAGCCTGTGTTTGGTTGGTACAAAATATTCTGAGCCAAAGTATATGGTACTTAAGACTGATGACAAAGAACTAAAGAACTGTATTCTGTAGTTACTTCAGAAAAAAAGATTTTATATATTGATATATATCTCACCCCTCCCTAGAATAAATTTTCCATTAAAATGCTGGTAGCTTTTTTTATTTTGAGAAGAATTTTAAACTAGTCTTCGGGAACCATGTTTTAAAGTACCATTGATATACATCATTTCTTAGCATTTCCTTACCAACAGTTTTTGTCCATTGCTCCTCTCAAAAGAGCCTTATTCCACTAATAACATTTTAAAGTGTGTGAATGCATCTGTGTGAGTGTTTGTTATGTGTCTGTGTATATCTACATAGTCTATTTCTGTTCAGATTGGCAACAGTTCAGATGTGATGCTTTCTGCTTAGCAATTGATCTACTTTATAAACTTTTGCCTTGGCTCCTTGTTGAGCAAAAAATGAAAGGATAGAGCTAATTCTTTAGGAGAGTCAGTTAACAGATAAAGAAGCCTTCCTGTTGTCCTGTGGCCACAATTTTAACTAGGTGAATTAGCTTTATCCTTTGCGTAGAAGGTAACTTATTTAGTGAAATTTTCGAGGATGTTGGTTTTTGAGCTATGACTGGAAGAGTTAACATGAATAAGCTCACATTTATATGGCTTCACGATCGTGAGCCTACAGAGAGATCTGACTGACTCTGAGCCACATATATATAGGATGGGTGTGCTTACA